TATCCAGGAGACACAATTTATCAGGAGAGGATTTTTAAGTAATAACTCAGAGTAAAACAGGAGAAACAACTTTCTACTTCTTACCTTTTTTTAAAAAAATGTAGTGAGTAGAAAGTACAGATAATTGTGTAAAAATGTAATGAGTAAAAGTAAAAAGTATGCTGAAAAATAATTACTCAAGTAAAGTACAGATAACCAAGATTTCTCCTTAAGTACAGTAACAAAGTATTTGTACTTAGTTACTTTACAACTCCGCCTCAAAGTCCTGCAGAAAGACACGTTCAAACTGAGGATCCAAACACAAGAATAAATATGTAAAGTTTAAAGGGATCAAATGAGGATTTATTCTCCATAAAAACAGGTCTGAAAGAGAAGAAACAGCTTTTTATTCTAACTTTATCTTCAGACTTTGGTCTGGACTTGGTGGGTTCAGGTCTGGTTCTTGGTGGACTCAGGCCTCCTGCTTCAGACTCCTCAGGGTTCTGTGACCTCTCACCCACAGCAGCTCAGTGATGACACCTTTCCTGTGAGAGTGGGAGTGGGCGGGGCTTAAAAAGAGAAATACCTGCCTTCAGGCTGCCTCTTCCTGTCAGATTACAGCCTGGTGTTCCTCCTGGCTGTGGTCCAGAATCCAGAGAGTGAAAGCAGGAAACTCTACCTTCTGCTTTTTATTGTTTTATGATGAAACTTAGAACCTGAACGTTGGTTTGACTTTAAAACTTTATAACTTTATAACTTTATGAGGTTATGAACTTTGAGTTTAAAGCAGTGCCATCATGTGACACCTTTAATCAGTTTTATGTAAAAAAAGAATAAAAGCTGCAGATGTCTGACTGCAGTGAAACCAGATTATTTCTCAGATTAAAGAAGCTGCAGAATGTTCTCTAATCTTAATCTGTACACAGGAATTATGTTTTCAATCTGAGACAAACTTCACCGGAGAGAGAAAAGAAGCTCTGCAGATAATCTACTGTATGTGTCAATCAAATAAAATATTCTGAATAAATCCTGAGGTTTCCAGAATCAGAACCATCAGCTGGTCTCACCAGGTGTCTGAGTGTTACCTGCTCTCGCTCTGGATGGTAGGCAGCACAGATGAGTCGTCTGCAGCGCTGCATGAAGCCTCCGGTCAGAGACACCAGCAGAGCCAGGCCCAGCAGGAACCCTGTGGAACACAACAGAACCTGTTCTGATCAGTCAGAACTTTAGTTAGTCAGGTTCTGGTTCTGGTTCAGATCCACCCTCGAACTCTGAAGAACCAGTTTTGTTTCTACCAGAACAAGCCAAGGTGTGGATGAGACGATGCTTCAGACGAGGAAAGCATCTTCACCTCTGGGGGACAGTTGTGTAAACCTCAGAGGGGCTGTCCACAGGGAGGAGTGACCTCACCTGTGTTGGCTCCTGGTTGTCATCAGTTTACTAAATGAGTTGAATGGATCTAGACTTCATACACAGGGGTATGCAGATGACCTGGTCATACTTGTAGAAGGCTTCTGCCTGGGTACTGTTTGTAACCTGATGCAGAGYGGACTAAACATAGTATCCAGATGGTACCAGGAGCAGGAACTTTCTGTTAACCCAAACAGAACTGGTTCTTCTCACTCATAAGGATTAAAGGAAAGGTTACTCACCTCCAAAGTTGGGGGGTGTAGAACTCTCCCTGACAGAGTCAGTTAAACTCTTGGGTGTCTATCTAGACAGGAAGTTTAACTGGAAACAACATGTAAATGAAAAGTGTAAGAAGGCAGCAACGTGCCTCCACCAGTGCTGGAGAATAACAGGTAGTCGTTGGGGTGCTACCTCAAAGGTTATCAGGTGGATCTACACGGCCATAGTCCACCCCATGCTATGCTATCTGCTTTAGTGTGGTGGGTTCCAGTCCAAGTTGGGGTGGGAAGAGTGATGCTCACCCATGTGCAACGAATGTCCTGCCTGAGCTTCACAGGTTCTATGAGAACAACACCCACTGCAGCCATGGAAGTCTCTCTACGACGGACATGTCTCCCAATCACTTCTACTGTTTTACAGATGGATCCCTTCTGAAGGGCTCAGTAGCTGCAGGGCTGATGATTTTACACACCCATAGTGACAGAGTACCCACTAGGTCAGGACTATTCAACTGGCGGCCCGCAGGCCAGATGTGGCCCGCGAGTGACCACAGTTCGGCCCCCAATTGGTTCCTTCATCTCTTAAGACCAAACCCCTGGTTTCTACTTTAATTACTCCAAGTTCTTTTACGTGTTTGGTATCTACAGAAACATCAGAATCTTGGCTAGAAGCTGGTAAAAACATTTCAGTGAACATCTAAAACAGTTAAACTACAAGAAGTTGAAGATAAAATTATGAAAGTGAAAATAAAATTGGTTTAAAACAGTTAAAACTACAAGAAGTTGAAGATAAAATTATGAAAGTGAAAATAAAATTGGTTTAAAAATTTGGCAAGTCAGAGATGTTAAAATATTATTTGTGTTAAATATGAGGCAGAATGTGTTGTTTTTGTTTTTGTTATTGTTTAATTATCAGTACTTTTATAGGGTTCAGTATGTTGTATTCATGATTAAATGCATCAAAATAAACTGTTTCAAAGGTAACAGATCTTTGTAATACTTGGTTTATTTACATAATGACTTTAATTACTGGATGTTCGGCCCCTCAGCTGTTCGTCTGCATTAACTGTGGCGGGGGTGGGGATGTGTGTGTAAGTGTGTGGTGGGGGATCCTGCTGTTGCGGATAACAGAGGAAGGGGAGGACGGGGTGAAGAGTGAACTTATTTTTGACTGATTTAATTTTATTTATTGTTTTTATCGTCCTGCAGGCTCTGAGAGAAAATTAATTTGAATCTGAGTTTTTGATAAAAATCATTAGATTACTGTAAACATCTGTAAACCTGCAAAATGAGGGAAAATCTGTGTCAGTTACAGATATTCTGTTCAGGTGAGCAGCTGTCCTCCTCCAGACACATGATGGAGCGTGTCTGAGCCAATCACTGATCATCTGACTGATTTAAATACATCTTAACARTCATGAGGTACTTTACATTGACTGTTTATGGTTGAGTGTGGGCGTGTAGAGGGTAGAACCTGAGGAGGACCTTGGTCCAAACTCTGAGGTGTGGCTGTGATCTACAAAGGGAAGGTGCAGAAACGTGCGTACGCACATGTAGGGGTCACGTCGAGTGAAGAAACAAGATTTACTGCCTCGAAGCAGGCCTCGGACAGGCCTGACGAGAGGACAGGAACTCTGTTACAAACTGAACTCTATTTAGGCCATGACAGGTCATTCTAACCGTGGAAGAGAACCCCTCAGTTCTCTTAATGGTGCGTTCACACCGAACGCTATTTCAGCTTCAAAATCGCAGCCAACGCCGAAGTTTGAAGCTTGTGCACTTTGAGGTCAGACGCAGGTCAGCTGCGCTGCACGGCAGAGCCTCCCCGCCCCTCCCTCCTCTGTCGGGCTCTGTTTAATGTCGGACGAGGAAGTGGCTTTGCTTTATTTACAGAGCAAGAAAATGTCACGTTCATCAGATAATTAATTCATAATTAATTCACCAGATAATTCAGAGAAGAGGCTCACAGCTCGCTTTCAGGACTATTTTTCCAGTCTGATGAGTCGCTGCCACGCATTGGTGCGGATCAGGACACGACTGCAGCACTCATTTCAGCTAAAGAGCTCCTCTCCATCTG